CTGTCCCCCTCCGACCCTGGCTGAGTCAGGAGAGAGGCTGCCTCTGCATGGGGACCCTGGACAGCAGGTTACCCCTCCACATCTGAGTCCCCATGTGGAGGGTGGACCGTGCCTCTGGGGAGCCGGTGTTGGGGACAATGGTAGCAGCTGTGTTTACTGAGCGTCGGTGTGTACTGTGAGGTTCAGGTGCTCTTCAAACACTCTCCTGTGTAGTCCCATACACCTTGGAGGTGTGAGGTGTGCCTTCTCAGGGAGGAGGTGGTCAGGCCAAGAGGCCTGGACTCCAAGGCAGAGGAGATTTTGACCAGAAAGTGCTTCCCAGGCACTTCCTGTCTGTGTGTCACCGCAGGCATGCCACCGTGGCTGTGACACCTTCCCGGCTACAGGGAGCAGGTGGGTTAGTGTCAGGAAGGTGTGACTTCATCACTCACTTGCAAGCCCAGGGTATCCCTGAGGTGGGGACTCCCGCTGACTCGAGACCACAGGGGCCGCCGAACCCGTCCCCCTGGGCCTGTTGGGCGGTTCCCCACATTCCAGATGTCCAGCTTTGGAGGACAGCTTCTGGACATTCACTTGGCCTTGGATGCCCTTGGGTGTGTGGAGCCATCCCCTGAGCCCACGGCCTGGGCACAAAGTGACTGTCAGAGCCCCAATGGAGACAGAGATTTCCAGGAATGCAGATGCCCTGAAATCCGGTGGAGGACAAGCTCTGTCTGTCCAGAGCTTTCCTAAGAATTGTGGGTCGTTTCTGAAAATGGTCTCTTCCCCCATGGATGCATCTGAGTGGCCAGTGCATCCCAGGCCTATGCCACCATAGATAGGGACGTGGGCACATTGGACATTTAATTGAATTCAATTAAAATACATCTTCCTTGAAATAGGGCCGAGTGCTGGGGTGGTTTTCTGTAGTTAGTGTGAAGGTGGGTTGGAATAAAGAATGGTGGGTGTGGGGGACCTGGAGGAGCCTTGCTGATTGGGGGCTGGCAGCAGTGCTTCTCGGGGGAACCCCATCCCTGGGCGGAACTGTCTGTGTTCCCTGGTAATTCCAGGATATGGTGAGCTCATGGCTTTCCTAGGAAGGAGGCTCTGGCAGAGCCTGAAGTCTCTGTGGGTGTTGGAATCTGTCTTCCTACCCAGGAAAGGTGCCTTGTGTGGAAAGAAGTGCTTCTCAGTCCTCGCTCGATGCCCAGGTGTTTTGAGAGTGTGTCTGGGCTTTAGCCCGTTGGGGATGTGCAATTTGAAGGGACTGGTTGGCACACTGGGGCTTGTTAGGGAAGCAGAGCGCCCCCCACCTTGTCCTGACCCCAGGCCTTCCACTGTCCCTGTCGGCCACTCCTCCCACCTCTCAGGGTTACCTGCAGCCCCACCGTTGTGGCCGTCCAGCGAGGACGAGGGTCAGCTGAGCTCCACAGGCAGGGAGTCTGTCAGAAACCTCTGGTGCCTGCGGCCTGCTGGGCACTGGGCTGATTGTTTCACAAATCACAGGAGAAAACTGAACATTTAGTGACTATCTTGCTCGTGGCCACCTAGTTCGAAAGTGGCTGCTGTTGGCGTTAGGTGCTATTGAGTCATTTTCGCCTCACAGAACCCAGTGTAACAGGGTTGAGCTGCCCCCGTAGGGGTTTCTAGGCTGCCGTCTTTATGAAAACAGTTTTAGTGGTTTTTTTCCTGTTGGCCATTGCACCGAATTCTCCCATGAGTTGCGCTGAAATCTAAGCTCGCTAGCAAAGCACTCCCCAGACAGGGTGTTGGTGAAGCCCTGGGCACCTGTCCACAGGAAGCTAACAGTCTAGCGAAAGATATGCAAAGATCTGAGATAAGGTGGCCGGACCAGCTCCAGAAATGCAGAAGATAATGAAGTAATGACGTCCCAGGTTCCCCAGAGGAGGAGGGCATATTCTAACTGAGCTGGATGGAATAGAATTGAAAACTGGGGACGTGGGAACATCCTTCCAGGAGAGGCCAAGGAGGAGAGTGAGGAAGTACAGGAATGTATTTCCTGGAAGGGGGGGCAGTAATAGCCCCTGTAACATGAATAGTAATAGTATACATACATGGCTGGGTCAATGGAGAGGCATGTGGTCACATCCTTAGAAATTGTAGATTCCTCGTCCTGCGGTGGCACTCAGGTTAATGCACTGGACTGCAAGGTTGGTTTAAATTGCCAAGTTGGAGGTTCAGGCTTATCAGCTGCTCCTAGGAAGCCCTATACAGGATTGCTATGGGTCGGAACCGACTCAACAGCACTTCAGAACAACAAATACTGTCATGAAAAACACAGACTCGTGAGGACGGTAAAGAGCAAGGATTTATATTCTCAGCGTCTGGGGGTCTGGGCTGTGTGGGCTCCCGCTGTGATTTCTGCCCCCTGAAGGTGACCCTCCCCTGCTGTGTGTGCGCGGGGAAGTGATGGGTTAAGACCCAGTGTCCTCAGGAATGAGCTCGTTAACATGGCAGCAGCGTCCACACAGGGTCACACTGACGGGTCATCGCGTCTACTCTACCTAAGGGACACAGTCCAGCCTGTACCAGAAGTAGCGTGGGAGGCAGCTGTGTGGGCTGCAGGGAGCAGTGTCCTCCTGGACTGACCTTCCTGGACTTTGCTGATCAACGTCAGCGAGAAAGTGTGAACTGAGGTCTAGGAAGGCTTAGGAGATTCCCACCCAGCATCCTTGGTGATACCATGATGGTGATACCAGCTGATATTTCTCGAAAAACCACAACAACAAGGCATACGTGTTTTATACACATTCGTATCTTGTCCCATTTAACTCTCACAGTGCCGAAAAGAATGCTGTTACCAGTCCCCAGTTTACATGAAAAAGCAAGCCTCGGAGATGTTAAATATTCTGCCCCACTGTTCATAGCTAGGAAATGACATGTACCAAACCTGGCTTTCAAACGTCTTTCTGCTTAATCCCCAAATACACCCCTTCCCACTCTGCCACGTACTTTCCTGGACCAGGGACCCCTGGACCCATCCTTGGACATGACCTGTTTTGGTCAGGGGAGTAGACAGCTTTCTGTCCTGAGACAAGGGTAGGAAATGCAGACATGAAGACATTGCAGAGCTGGCCAGGTCACTGCCCAGCTCAACAACCTTCAGTGGCTCCCCACTACCCACAAGATAAAGTCTAGTTGCTTAGCATTTCTTTCAGAGTCCTCCCAAGTTTGGCTCTCACATCTTCCAGCCTTATTCTATGTTTCTTCTCCTGTCCCCACAATTCCTCCAGTTTCCGGACATTTCTCTGCCTCTTTTCTTCCATCTTGGGCCCTCTGTGCTATGTGTGGTTTCTCCACTCCACTCCACTCAGGTGCTTCCTCCTACAAGAAGCCCTCCTGGATCATTTATCTCCCACTGTCCAGCTCATGGAGAGTTAGGGCTGGGGTGCTGGAGGTGGTGCCCTCCCATAGGTGGTTCATCTCAGCAGAAAGGACCATCCTGCCTCTCCCTGCGCAGTGTTGACCACTCTCTGACGGGGTCTTGTTGGTGATGGTTTTACTCTCTGCTGTCTGTGTGTCCCTCTCTAGACTGGGGAGGTCCCACGGGCAGGAACTGGGGTCATCTTCAGGATGAGAACAAGCACCTGGTGCCTGGCCCAAACCAATTGCCATGGAGTAGGTTCCAGCTGTTGGCAGAAGGACCCCGTAGGGTTTCCAAGGCTGTCGTTTTCACAGAAGCAGGTTGTCACAGCTTCTTCCCCAGAAGGGACTCGAACCGCTGTCCTTTGGTTTATCAGCGGAGTGTTCAACCACTGCACCACCAGATCTCTTCCGGTTTGTAGAGACCATTCCATAAGCATTTGCTAACTGAGGGGTGGCTGGCATTTGGAGTCCTTCGACCAGCCTGCAGGATCACATTCAGTGACTGGACAATGCCATTCATGGGGGACAGCAGGCAGGCCCCTCCTGGGTCCCAACCAGGGCTTTCTGGGAGGTGGGGACTGGGGGTGGGTGCAAGATGCTGAAGCAGCCACCCTGCAGGCAGGGACACAGAAAGGCTGGGGGACGGAGTGGAGGGGAGGAGCGGGCACCCTGGGGCGCCCCAGGCTTTGTACCCGAACTATTAATAGAAGCCCAACATTTCTGGAGGCAGCCCCCTCGGTGCCCCAAGGTTTCGGAAGTGGGCCGGCCCCTGGCTGGGCCCCAAGGACAGTGTTGTGTTGGTGACAACAGTAATTGGAGCTTGGCATTTATTTGGACTTGTCCTGCCTCCCGCTTCTGGCAAGGCTAATCTTTATTCATATGGTTGGGATGTTGCCGCCCCAGCCTCCTCACCAGCAGCCTTTGGGAGGGAGAAAGGGAAGAGTCATCTGGCCCTGCCTGGTGACGGGAGGGCACGTGGGCTCCCAGCCGGGAGATCCCCGGCTGGCTCGGCAGTGCTGGGGCCAGGGACTCCACTGGTCCAGCTTCGCTCCTCACGACGGGAGGCGGGGACAGGAGGTGGGGACAGAAGGCGGGGCTCCCAGGCCTTCCCGGCTTTCAGGCAGCAGGAGGCTTGGTGCTCAGTTTCCAGGTGCAGCAGCGGACAAGAGGGGAGCACGCACGCAAGGCTGCCTCTGGTATCTCCCTGAGCAGCAGGAGGATTGCCTAGCCAGGCGGCCTGGGGACTGGGTCTCAGGGACTCCTAGGGACCCCTGCACACTGACGCCAGAAATCAGAGGTGTTGCCCATTGGCCCAGAGTGCCTGGGCAGGAGCTGGAAGCATCCCTAGTGGGTGTCTCTGCTGTACCCACGTGCTGTACCAGGCTACCTCTCCCGGCCAGGCAGCGCCCCAGCGATGAAGACCAACATGTGCAGAGCCCAAGCAAGGACTCTTCAGGCCACTTCGTAATCCCGAGGAGCCCCATTGATTTTCCAGCCCGAAGCAGCCAGTGGGCCTCTTTCTCCCCTACTTTTTATTTGGGGCAGCTGCTGGCCTCTGCTGACCCTTGCAGACCCTAGTGGCATGTGCAGACCACCACCATGGTGCAGAACGTGATTCTGGTGTTTTTCCGCAGACGGCTGAGCCAGCGGCCCGCTGTGGAGGAGCTGGAGAGGAGGAATATTCTGAAACGTGAGTATGGGGGTCCCCCCCCCCTCCGCTACCTGAAACCCAGGGAGCTGCTGGGAATGTGGACTAGAGTTCCAGAAACATTCCCTCAGCAAAAGTAGCCCCCACAATACACAGAGGTCCCCTGTTGACCAAAGAGGGGTATGCATTAGTGTTCCCAGCAGGTTTTCTGGGCCGTTTGGGACAAGGGTCCTGTAGGTGCAGCCATCGCAGTCAGAGGGGGACAGCCCAAGCTTGCTGTTCCAGGGGGAGAATGCCATCTACTCTGGGAGCAGGGATGCAGTGGGGGTTGTTCTTGCTGCCCAGGTCATGACATGCTGCTCCTCTGCTCCGTCCAGTCCCACCCCCGTGATAACAGGCTGCACACATGACTACCATCATTCATAGCAGAAGCTCCTGGGAAATGGTTCTCACATAGTTCTGTGTTTAAAGCATTTTCTACAGAAGTATGGATGAAAGGCTGGGTTGTTAGCTATACTTTGAGTTTATTATCCCTAATACAATGGATGGAGCAGGCACCCTCTGAGTTTGCTTGTTGTACTCCAGGAATTTCTTTTTATGAACGCTTCAGAGACCACTAACGGCAGACCACTGAGGCCCTGCAGCTGTTGCTGTCTTGGGCTAACACACTCAGCCCACCTTTCTCTGCCTCCTCACTCGCCTCAGACAACTCCCTCCCTTGTAAATGGCTGTAAACCATTGGTCCCCTGGTGAGGTCCTGCCTAGCTACTGTGCTGTTCAGGTCGAAGAGGCACGGATGTTCAGTTGTCACTGAGCCGACTCTGACTCCACCCCTCACGTGTCAGAATAGAACTGTGCTCCGCAGGGTTTTCCACGGCTGAGTTTTTTCAGACACTGGCAGCCAGACCTTTCTTCTGAGGTTCCTTTGGGTAGACTCAAACCTCCCACCCTCTGTTAGCAGCTGAACATATTAACCATTTCTACTGCCAAGGGACTGCAGACAGTCGTTACCATAGCTCAGTCTTACACTGTTCAGTGGTGGCGTGCTTAAACTAAGTAGACAGAAAATGCAAGCTGTTTCAGCCACCAAATATTCAAGTTAAAAGACAATTAAGTCACTCACTTATAAAGCATATAAGTCAAAGAAGCCACCAAAGGTGATGGTCTAGACTTGAATGGGGCACACTCAGGGACTGGGCAGCGTGAGGAGTTGTGTCCACCTGTGGTAGGAAGAGAGTCGCCCAGCACACATGTGTGACTTGGGAACCTGCTGCTTCCAGGAGCTACCTCTCCCATGCTGTCTGGGAAGCCAGATACCACCAGTGGAACCCAAGCCAAACGCCCTGCCATCAACTGGATTCAAGTCAGAGAGAGCCTGTGGAGTTGGCTAGAACTGTCCCTAGAGTTTCTAAGACTGTCATCTTTATGAAACCCAATCGCTGCATCTGTCTCCTCGGAGCAACTAGTGGTTTCAAACAGCTGACCTTTCAGTTAGCGCTTAAGCTGGTTGAGCCACCAAGGCTCTACCTCCCACCAGCAAGTGCTTCTAATTGGGTTGCAGTTTGCACATCAATGCTGAAGCCTTAAAAATCGAAGCAGTGCTGGGAGAATAGAGAGAGAGAGAGAGAGAGAGAGAGCCTAGCCTGTCTCCCTGCCTCTGGCTTCCACGCTTCCGGAACATGGGCTTTCGGCTCTGCGCCCATGACACTTCCCCGGGTCCAGTAAGCCAGGCCTGCGAGAGGGAGCCTGAGAGAACTTCACTTGGGTGCGTGTGTAGATTGTTTTGTTCTGTGGAGATAAGAATAAAGTCCCCATGTGTGGCCCAGTGTAGAACATCATACTCACAGGCCCTTAACACATGGGTCTGCAGACACACTGCTGTGCTTCATCTCTCATTTAGAATCCGTTTTTAGAACATAAACAATGTTCCCTCTCATTCAACTAGGGAGCATATGACTAACTGATCTAACTGTGGTTCTGCTGGGGACACTCAGCTCTCCCTGTGTATTCATGGGTTCAGAGGCGTCATGATGGTAAAGGTGCTGGAGGTGGGGACAGTGATGGCGATGGTAATGGTGGTAGTGGTGGGGGTGATGGTGATGGTGGTGAGGAGGATGATGGGAGTGACTGTGATGGTGGTGAGGAGGATGATGGGGGGTGATGGTAGTGGTAGGGGAGGGTGGTGATAATGGTAGTAATGGTGGTGATAATGATGCTGATGGTGGTGAGGATGTTGGTGATGGTGATGAGAGTGATGGTTGTGATGACTGTGGGTGGTGGTGATGGTGATCATGGTGATGGTGGTGGTCATAGTGGTGATGATGGTGATGGTGGTGATGGAAATGGTGGTGATCATGGTGATGATGGTGGTGGTGGTGATGGGAATGGTGGTGGTCATAGTGGTGATCATGGTGATGATG